TTCGAACTCTTTGGATTGGTGATTTGCAGTACTGGGTCGACGAAAATTACCTCACTTCCTGCTTCTCCCAAACCGGCGAGGTAACTCTTCATTCAGCTTTTTGGTTCCTCAGCTTCTATAAAAGTTTGTGACTTTGTAACCACAGCTCTCGATTTCCCTGGGTTTTGCTTCTAGGGTTTCTTTGCCATTTATGAACAAGATAAAAACAGTGAATTTTACTTTCGGGATTTATATTTCTTGTGCTTTATTGTAACTTTGATTCTTAATATGGTTTTGTTCTCACGATGTTCGATGTTCACCTGTCTATAGTTACAATAGGTAGCACTAGGTGGATACATGTACTTCTGTATCTCCTTTTGGATTCCACAATAGGCTTTGGTTTCTGTTTCCTGCAAGTAAGAATTGTTATCAGAAATTTTTCTTGTACATCCTTTTCTTTAGTCTCTAGTTTATATCTTTGTATGTGCTTAATTTCTTATGTGTTATGTGATCCTTAAGTGTGTAAAGATATTCGAATCAAGATTGTAATGGTTTACATACATACATGTGCAGCTTGTTTCTGTCAAGGTAATACGTAACAAGATCACGGGACAGCCAGAGGGGTATGGTTTTATAGAGTTTATATCTCATGCAGCAGCAGAGAGAACTCTGCAGACGTACAATGGGACACAGATGCCTGGAACTGAACTAACTTTTCGGTTAAATTGGGCTTCTTTTGGTTCTGGACAGAAAGTAGATGCTGGACCTGATCATTCTATCTTTGTTGGAGATTTAGCACCTGATGTTACAGATTATCTTCTTCAAGAGACATTCCGTGTTCATTATTCTTCTGTTAGAGGTGCCAAGGTTGTTACTGATCCAAGTACTGGACGATCAAAGGGTTATGGATTTGTTAAATTTGCTGAGGAAAGTGAAAGGAATCGGGCTATGGCTGAAATGAATGGTTTGTATTGCTCAACAAGGCCTATGCGTATTAGCGCAGCGACGCCTAAAAAAAACGTTGGTGTACAGCAACAATATGTCACCAAAGGTATGATAACAAAACACGATACTTGATTTATGTTTATCGAATTTTGTTTTGTACAGCTTATATACTGTTCAGAAATCATTTGCTTAACCGGAATTTTTCTATAGCTGTTTACCCAGGTCCAGTACCATCTGCAGTTGCTGCACCAGTCCAAGCATACATTGCTCAACCTGGACAAGGGCTTCCACCTGAAAGTGATGTCACCTGTACAACGGTAAGTTTTATCTTGAAAAAGAGCTTTTTTTTTTTCTCGGAATTCTCCTGATTGTTTTCATGCATTGGTTTTGGTGTACAGATTTCAATTGCCAATTTGGACCCAAATGTTACAGAGGAAGAGCTGAAGAAAGCATTCTCCCAATTAGGAGAGATTATTTATGTCAAAATACCTGCAACAAAGGGATATGGTTATGTTCAATTCAAAACCAGGTAGGCCATCCAGTAAAACTCAGAATTCATTTGTGCTCGCTTCCATGTATTAGTTTGTCATGTATGCTCATTTCTAGCTCTGTTGACTAAAATTTTGACTTCTGCCCCATGCTGACCCAGGCCTTCTGCCGAAGAAGCCGTTCAGAAAATGCAGGGACAAGTGATTGGTCAACAAGCAGTTCGCATCTCTTGGAGTAAAAATCCAGGACAGGTAAAAATTTATGTTATGACCTAGACTGATGTGATGTATGGCCTTATTATACTCGCTGGTTCACTGAATGTCGTTGATGATCTTTGATATTTGTTAAAGGATGGTTGGGTTGCACAAGCAGATCCGAATCAGTGGAATGGGTATTATGGTTATGGGCAAGGCTATGATGCATATGGTTATGGGACAACTCAAGACCCATCCTTGTACGCATATGGCGGATATGGCTATCCCCAGTATCCACAGCAGGTAAACAAAATGAACTTATTTACGTTTTTGCAATTTGTGGAAACTTGTTGTTCTTCATGGTCGACAGTTTTTCAGGGAGAGGGTACACAAGACATTTCGAACTCGGCGGCGGGTGGAATTGCAGGTGCAGAGCAAGAGTTGTATGATCCTCTGGCCACTCCTGATGTAGACAAGTAAGATTCTTATTAGTTTCTTACACATTCCTACCTGGGTTGGTGTCTCGTTGAATGCCCAATTCATTGTTTTGTTCCTTGGGCACTTGTAGGTTAAATGCTGCTTACCTTTCGGTTCATGCAAGTGTTATATTAGGACGGCAAATGTGGCAGCGTACCTCAGCACTCACATCACAATTTGGAAAATGATGGCGAATAGAGGAATAGAATGGTGGGTGCTTTGAGATGTTTACTGTGTCCATTTCACTGCTCCTTGTCTGATTGTTTTGCATGTTTCAGATTTTTCTGTAATCTTACAATTAGGTTCTAGTTACAATGCTAAATCATGAATCTTCCAACTTTCCGCCATGGTCGATGATAATGCCTTTTTACGTTTTTTACTTGACCGTTAATTAACAAACATCACTAATGCACATATTTGAATTGAAAAAGAATTTGATACATTGAGAAACCTCTGAAACTTAAAATCAGTAGTAGACAAGCATAAAATATTTACGAACATGAAACACCTCCCTAGTCCCATTTTAAAGCCTTTCTCCTCTCTCTTGGTGAATCATGAGCAACCCAAGCCTTCTTCTTGATGTTCTTATGTGCGTACTTGTCTGTTCCAGTGGTGTCATTTGAATGACAGTTCACGCCGCTTCTTCGGGTTAGGATCTGGGTTACCTTTTCTCATCATTGCCACAAATTCCTCGTAGTTTATCCGCCCATCCTAGAAAATGTTTATATTATTAGATTGTTGTTGCGTGTTCTTATTAAATGAAATTGTGATAGTGAAAGGAGCTTACATTGTCTCCATCAACCTCAGAAATGATTTCCTTAATGTCTCTGCCATCGTTCATGCCAAACTCCCGAAGGGCTTGCTCTAGCTCTTCCATTGTGATATATCTGCAAGGAACCGAGAATCATTTGTTTTTGGTTTCAAATTGTATCAGAACTGTTACACATGTGCTCAGTTACTTACCCGCTGTTGTCTTTGTCAAAGTGTTGGAAGGCTGAGTAGAGATGCTCTTCTCTGTCGAGCCTGTTGATGTGCATTGTAGCTGCAATGAACTCCCCATAGTCTATTGTTCCATTACCGTCTGCATCAGCCTATAGAAAAACAGAAAAATCAGCTCTCTACATCTTTCTTAATGGATAGATAGCACACAAATGAAAGAAAAGACTTACAGCTTCCATTAATTGCTGGACTTCGTATTCGGATAACCTTGTACCTTGCTTGGCAAGTCCCTGTCTTAGCTCTTCAAGAGTTATGGTTCCGCTGTTGTCGGTGTCCATTCCTTTGAACATCTCCTTTAACCCCATGATTTCTTCCTCTGATAAGCACCCGGCTATCACCTGTTTGTTGATGAGGCCAGTGAGATATATAGACCACATTGTTTGTTACATATATGGTTTTGAGAGTGTGTTAATTAATTACCCGTAAAGCAACTTTCTTAAAGTTGTTCATTGCTTTGAATTGCTTGAGCCTAGACATCACTGCATTGTCAAGAGGAACATCTGGTGCTTCTCCATCTTCCTTGATCCATGGATGGTCTTTAAAACAACAAAAATGTTATAACAAAAAAAAGAGTAGTGAAATATATATAGGATCTCTTTTAATAAGAGCTGCTTACTGAGAACTTGAGCAGCGGTTAATCTTTGTTTGGGATCAGAGTTGAGCATCTTCCTAACGAGGTCCTTTGCCTGTGGTGAAATGACTGGCCATGGATCGCTTGAAAAATCAACCTGTCCACTTAGGATGGCGTTGAATATCCCATTCTCCGACTCTGTTATCGATGAAAACATGAATGAATCAGATAATCCCTGTCAATTGTTTTGACAAGATAGGAGGGAATCAGAAATCTTTACCAGCCCAGAAAGGTGGAACACCACACAAGAGGATATACAACATGACACCGATGCTCCAAATATCAGCCTCTGGTCCATACTTCCTCCTCAACACCTCTGGTGCAATGTAATAGGCACTTCCTACAATGTCTTTGAACACCTCTCCTGGCTTGTAGAACACGGATAACCCGAAGTCGGTGGCTTTCAGAGGAGAATTCTCATCCTTGTTTAGCAACAAAAAGTTCTCAGGCTTCAAATCCCTGTGGATAACCCCCATGGAATGGCAAGTATGGATAATCTGCACAATCGTCCGTAGCAACGAAGCCGCGGCTCTCTCAGAGTAATGCCCCTTTGCAATGATCCTATCAAACAACTCTCCGCCTGCGCAAAGCTCCATAACCAAATGCACAGAATGCTTATCCTCATACGCTCCTTTAAGCTCCACAATGTTTGGCTGACCGGTCAAATGATGCATTATCTGCACCTCCCTTCTCACATCCTCAATGTCTTCTTTGTTCACCAGCTTCCTCTTAGCAATGGTCTTGCAAGCGAATTGCAGCCCTGTGGCCTTTTGGGTGCAGAGATGGGTCACCCCAAACTGTCCGCGACCCAGCTCCTTACCCAATGTATATGAGCTTTTTACATCTTCCATTGGTCGCCCTAAGACTGGTCCAATTGGCCCTTGTTTGGTTGCAGGAGGAGGAGATGCTGGCGGGTGTCTAGAAGCTCTCACAGAGGCTTCAGCGGCACCAGCACCGCCGCCTCCTCCTCCATTTTCGGGCCTCGGGTCTTCTTTGTTATTACCTGAATCTCGTCCATGAGAGCAACAATTTCCCATTGTTGCAATAAGGGGAGAGGAAGTAAAGTTCTCAACCAGGAAGAGAAATAAAAAATGAAAATATCTTTCTTCCTCTGTCTATTCTTTTAGGTTTTTGGTTTCTTCTTTAGCAAGAAAAATTAGGAGTTTTTTTGCTTATGAATGGCTATGAATAGCATTTTTCTGTTTTTGTAACTCTTTTCATTTTGCTGGCCTTAGTTCAAACGATAATGATCGGGAGGGACTTTAGGAACCAAAAGCCTGTCTCTGTTTTTTTTGTTATTTAAAGCAAATTTTATTTATTTTATTTTAGGATTTATTACAAAAGGTTCAGAGCATTTCCTGGAGAATTTCGGACTTGCCTTTAGTATATTCTAAACGTTATCCATATTGTCTAAAATGAACCTTATAAACTATAGTTTATTGAAAATATGATTTGCAATGTTATTTGGAATTTTAGGATACAAGAAAAAGAGCCAAATAATACTAAGATGCTCAATTTCAGTAAGTAGGAATTGATGGGTCAACCTTGAGAGAATAGGCTTGTATTCCACCAGCGATGTTGTACACACTCTTGAAGCCCTGAGGAACACGACACCAATCCATGAAGATATAATAATTGCATAATATATAAAAGGAGCTGAAAAGTTTTTTTTTTTTTTTACCTGAGACTGTAACCAGTTGGCAACCTGCATCGACCTGCCACCAGCCTTACACTGTATGGGAACAAAGGAGGCGACTCAGAGAATTTAAAAAGCCATTACAACCATCAGATGATTCTTTGTTTAAAATGATCTTAGATTTATAAGAGGCCCTCCACTCTTAACCAAATGCAACGAAAAGCTAGAAAATCCACACCCAAAACAATCTGCCGGGACACCCATATAAAACAAGCCCTCGCTAACTGCTCTCTAACCAACCCACAACACCTCTAAATTGTGCTACGCTAGATACAGTAGACCTACATCTAACAGTTGAGACGAGACTGAACATACCAAGACAAATGTATCCTTCTCAGGGTTCAGCTTTGAAGTGATGTCTGGTGCCCAGGTTCCGAATTGGCGGAGCGGGAACACTTGGAATCCTGGCAAGGATGCAATGGCTCTGGTACAACAAGTAGTGACACAGAATAGAAGGAAACAATGTGAGTTGACTATGGATACTTTGTCCTCCTTCTAGGATAAAAAATGTGCAAGGTACACATGTATCTAAATGGCAGAACAATCAAACTCTGCAAGATACACATGAATCATAATGTTGAGAAAGTATGAAGCTAATCCATTGGGCTTCAGTGAAGAAGGAAAAGTATATCAAGATGAGAAATGAAAGGAACTTACATCTCGTCGGGTTCTCTAACATCAATTAACTGAGCCTCATCCATGAAAACTGGATCTTGCATTTTGGAATGTAGCTCCTCTACCTGGATATCTTTCACCGGTTCTCTGTTAATATAAACTTGTCGTCAAGAAATTTTACAACAGTCAGATAGAAAATGTCGCTAACGGAGGAGGATAGTTTTCAGAAAAATTACCTCTCAGATAGAACTTGCAATAAGTGCAAGCCAAATTGGGTTCTACACCTCACCACCTGATTCGGCTCTGCTTTAAACGCAGCTTCCTCAAACTCTGGTACCTGAAACAATTTTAAGTGGTCTGTCATGTTCATAGTGCAGCAGGAACTTGCATGGGGAAGTCCAAACATTGTGAAATTACTTCTATCCTTGGTTACATTCTACTACTCCTAGTAGCACATGGATGTCAATACTAATAGTTAGTTCACCAGGTATAGTTGCTTGTGAAATAACAATATAACCAAAAGAAATGGATAATAAACATTATAAAAAAGAAAGCATACCATTTGACCCAGTTTTACCCATCCAAGTATACCACCGTCCTTTTTGGATGGACAAATCGAGTACTCAGCCGCAAGATCACTCATCTCCTCTCCTACACAAGAAATAATTACTTGAAAAAACAGTAGACACCCTTAATCATCTAACACAAACAAAACAAAGTAACAGTCAAGTAATGAAGTTTTTATATATATGTCATATATTCCACAGTTAATCTTTATCCCAGTTGTTACCAAACCCCGAAACCAATTAAAATTGAGTAAGCAGAGGCGCAACTGACTAGAGTGATAGACTCACAAAAATTAAGGATAAAGATAACATTGTGACACATTATATGACTAGAGAAGCGACAGGGCTATGTAACTATGTTGAAATAAAAGGGATAAAAGAATCAGACCTTCCAAGATTCTCTTTTGGAGTTCAGCAAAGAGCTCAATATCATCATCCTTAACAAGCAAATGCTGCACCAGAATCTCTCTACTTGCACTACTCCCACTGCTAAACGAAGCTGTAAAAACAAAAGAGAATCAGAAATCAACCCAACTAGAAACTAAATAATTAAGAATTCAGATAAACCAGTTCAAAAAGCAAAGGTAATTCTGCAGAAAAATTCAGATCAGAGTAGAGATAATTTGTTCCTGTTAGAAATCTGAGAAGAAGCACGAAATCAAGTCTTTTTTTGATACAGCAAAAAAAAAAAAAAAAAGGGGAGAAACAGTTCATATTTTGTGTACCTCTCATTTTGAGAGCCGAGAAACCAGAGAGTCGAATCGGGCACGGAGAAGGAATGCGTGGTCGGAGTGAAGAGATGCCTCCGCCGAGAAATTGACGAGAAAACGTGGAGAACCAACGGAGATGAGGAGGAGAGACGATAGCGAGAGTGGGAGTGATGGAGAGTCTTAGAGCGGCGGAGATAGACACCGCCGCCACCGCTGGAGATGATGCCGCCGAGAGAGTTCCGGTTACTCTAAACATTATGGGTTCTCTTGGGCAAAGAGTCCAAGTCTGAGAGGTTACAAGTTACCCACTCAAAGAAAAGACTGATTATGGGCCCTCTGATCCAGATATACTGATTAGTCTTAGAACCCTTTTTTCTGGAGGGATTACTGATATTTTAGTGTTTATATCCGCATATTGCATGTTGTTGACACAAAAAATAAATGTTGATATACATCGTTACAAAGTACCTTATCCTCTATATAGTTTTTGTAAAGAATGCATAGAATTTCTTATTTGACAAAAGAGGGCATATGCTACGATGAGAAGAGAGAAGGAAACCAAATAATGTTATAAAACCAATTTTCCTGCCGCTAGGTGGATGGGGGCGAGGGGATTATCGAATCGGAAGTGTTAGTAGATGGTGTCCAAGCATATAGAAGCATGCCGAGTACTAGGATAACTGTGCCTGCAACAAACCCCCTTGGAAGTGTAGATGCGACCCCAAGGTACGGTAGGGGAAGCGTGAAACAGTACACCGCTATGGGCACTGCAACCGACAAAGCCAAACAAGGTTCTGTATATTAGATATGTTTCTCTTCTGCATATAAATGATGTTCACTCCTATGCAATTTTCGCGGATTACTAATCATTTTATGTCCTAATATGGGATTTATGACCAAAAAAAGTTATCACAGAGATGATCATATGCTATATCATTGGTAATTACTAATTAGCTAAAGAAGTAGGTTTCCATGAAAGCATGGCAAGGCTATAACGAGACAAAGTTTGTACCTGAAACAGTGGATGCCAGAGACGACACAACTGCAGATGAGATCTTGATAAGGCGTAGAAGGGAGATGTTGTAAGCCATGTTCATCATGACAAACATTACAGGAAGAAGGGGAGCCCCTTCGCATCCTGTGTCATACCCAAATCCGAGCATGTTACACAGAGGGAAAAAAACAAAGAGATACTGGAGCAAAAAGTGTTAGCATCAACTAACCTGTTATTCTAGAACCAATATTCAGAAAACAAGCACCCCCGTCTCTGATATAACTCGGTAGTTGGTTAAACGGTATGCCCCAAAGTTTTGAAAGAAAAGGAAGAAGCAACGCAATGCATATGACCTGGGTTGACCACAAAAAGATACACATTATTAGCTAGCATTGATATTCACATCTTGTGTTAATAAACAATGCCAAAAACGTAAAATGATCTGATATAAAAAAAAACTACAGTAAGAATACTTACTTGGAAAACTGAACCATATGAGTTTACAACAAACAGATCAAGTGAAGCACCCTGTAACAATAAGAATTGATTTCTTTCAGAATCCAAAAATTGCGAATGTTGTTAAGACCGCATAGTTACCTTCAACCGTTTTTTGCTATCTAGAAAGATGACTTCCTGCAAGGATATGAAATTTACCGTTAAAGAGAAGAGCCCAGCATCTTGTAGTTGGAGACTTGGAGACATAACTAGAAAATGATTGACAAACCTTCATTACTGTATCTGCTCCTTGAAGCAGAAAAGACAACACCATAAGAAGACTCCAAAGTATTCCTGTATCTTTAAATGAATGAGCGGCACCCGATCCACTGAACATGGATGAGAAATTAGTATGTAAACTCAACATGGATGAAATTTGTTAAAACTGGTTATATAGTGTCCACTGACAAGTCTGACAAAAGGAAAGGAGACAAAGAAACCAGTCACTTAAAATAATACCAAGCAAGTTAATCGAGCTGGCTAACCTTGCCACACTGACGATTACACCAACTGCTACAAGAGTACATCCTAGTATTTGATTTATCCTATATCTCCTCCCGAGAAATATAATGGAGAAAAGAATTTGCCAGATAAGAAATGTCTGCAAAGAAATAAATGACAAGATTAACTCATTTTTCAGACAAGAAACCATACTTTTAGCAAGCTATCTACCAAATAGAGAAAACCCAAGTTTGCAGCTTTTGACACATCAGAACAAAATTCAGGATTATTTATGTTGTACTTTGATCTTATGGAAGATAAGAGATAGTAATGTTTTAAGCTTCTAACCTGAGATAAAACTGTAGTAGATGGTCCAGAAAGATTTGCTGAGTCAAGAAAAACGACAGTAGTAAGTAAGATGAAAAGGGTTGATTTTCATGCATTGGTATAGTGTTTATATGTAATTACATCGACAAATAAAATTATACATCTACTGAAATTACAGTAGAAAATGGGAAGGGAAAGGAGCTTTAAGAGTAGCATAAGCATAAACATACATGCAGCCGCCATCCCAGCAGCTAGAGCAAGAGACTCTAAGACGCCAACAATTAAAAATGGAAGTTTTGGAACTGATAGCATCTCTTTTGTAACAATTCCAGCTCGGTATCTGAAATACAAGATCGAAAAGTATACAGCTACATACCTGCAAAAAAGACATAGCAAAAGAAAAATGTTATATTTTTTTGTGCAAATAAAAACAAGATACATCCAGGAAATCGAGTAAGATGAATATTACCGCGAAACTATGGGTTTATCCACATTGAAGAACAATTAAAACAAACTCTAAGCTTAATTTCTCTTTCTATAAGCCCGAGATCATGAGTGGGTGAGTTCAACAGTACAAGAGTTTATCTCTAGAAGGATCAAAGACTGACAAATTACACGGCTAAAGTCACATTATTACTATGGACTAAATTTCGGATGCATCAAGCAGAAAACAACCATATACATTCTCTAAAATATATACATTGCATTCCAGTCCGGCAGTCCCAGAGTAAAATATAATGTGTCTATCTCATACACTGTATAAACAGGTGAACAGATTTTCTGATCTCGTTAGTATAGTCTACATTTGAAAAATCTGATGCAAGAAGGCAACAATCAACATACTTGTAACTTGCACACAGCAAAAGAGCCCATACGCAAAAGAGAGTGAGACACGTGCCTGACACGTGGTTAAATGAATTAAGAAAGGGTCAAATATTCTGGCACAAGATAAGTTTCGTTTCATTATTAAACTCACCGCAGATCCAACAAAAAAATCACTAATTAAAACGAATAGCCACCATGTAGGTGACGCAGAGCATACTCGCACGTGAGATAAAAGTTTAAATGCGCATAAAAATATTTTTTAGGTGAAGATAATAATAAAGTATCTAATTGAAACAAGTCGCCAACTATGACCCATCAATCATTTGTTAAAGAGAATCTTGTGATAATTACATTTTTACATACCAATATCTATCTGGGATTCCAAACGTACGGTAACAACAATTGAACACAATGAATGCTAGATCATCAAAAGAGAGCTCAAATCGAAATCTCAAAACCAAAAAATCTGAAATCTTATTTTAGGCATTTTCAAAGAGAGAGGAAGAGAGAGTTTGTTACCCGAAGGTGGAGAGCTGCGCGAGGAAGAAGGGATATTGCTTGAGAGGAATAAGAGCCAGCTTATATAGTACGCGATTCCCGACACCCAGCGCCGCCGTTGTCGCCGCTGCTATAACTATCTCCATCGTCCTGTCATGCTTTCCGGCGACCGCGCCACCACCGATCGCGTAATTACGCGCTTCGCCATCGTTAGATCCGTCCCAGGACTTCGCCGGAGGAATCGCCTCGATTAACCACAGCCTAGACCTTCGAGAGGACCCAAGGACGATGGGAGGTGCACCATTGGTTTGATTTCGACAGATTAGGGAAACGGATTGAGCTGGATACGCGTAACGCGATTTGATTGAGCCGATCGACGCCGTTGAACCGGCGATTAACCGGCCGGAGCTCGTTGTAGCCATGATTTGTACTGGTTCGATCGGAAGATGGAATTGCGTCGACTGGGCTTTATACTGACATCCCAACGAAACTACCTCTTTTGTGCTCTATGCTTCTTTTTTTTTAGTTGAAAGTAAATTTTTCTTTCTTTCGCATGTCACAATTTCTTTTGAGCACTCCATAGCTGCTGCATATAGAACTGTGTGATTAAAATAGCAGAGGCTTTTGGGGTGTTGAAAGGGTATTTTCGTCAAATGAAGAATAGTTTTTGTGTATTTTCAGATAAAAGTAGATTTATATATGGAAATTCAACATAACATTGTACCATTGACCCAACTCTTTTGGTCATGTTGTTTTTGGGCTATTTGACCCAAAACTTAATTGGGCCTAGCTTTACTTTTTTTTTATATTCATAGAACCATGAAACCTGCGGTGAATTATATATCTCGGAAAAAACTCTCTTTATGTATATATAGATTTTTGTACGCAAAATCACTTGGGGTTGCCATTGTTTGCTTTCGCCTTGCAAACCTTCAAACCAAAACCAAAAAATTGTGGGAACTATGATTGCGGATTTGCGATGGCGATAATTTTGGAGCTTAGGATCGAGTTCATGATAGAGAAGTAGATGTTGTGACAAGCTGCAATTTACCTTTGAAGAGGAGTCATATTACATATATGTTAAGCACTAGCGAAGAGAGCCATGGTTTCCTTACCGGCTGGATGTAAGAAGATGTGTTGACAATGACAAAATTCCATATGTGCATTGCGGATGCTTATGCTTCAAAATCAATGTCTACTAGGATTATTAAAGCACGTACATTTGGTGTAACAAATTGCAATGGGGTACCACAAATTTGGATCCAAAATGAAATGAAAATGAGCATTAAATCATACTATATGGTTGTCGTCTTGTCTCTTTTATACACAAGTAGATTAGTAGTCAATAAGTTATTTATTAAATACAAAAAGTATAGTAGTTCGTTTACACTTTACAGGGAGTCGTAGCTCGGATCTAACTAATCGCAGTAGCACCTATTTACCTAATCACGAATTATTAAATTGGAGCAGTGGAGCAGGATCATACCAGCTGTTGCTGACGTGGAAAATCGTAATTGGTTAGATTGATTTTTAAAAATACAAGACTTAAGTTGAACCAGACCCGACCCGTGACTTCTCCGACACTCATGACCCATCCATCCACTCTCTCTCTCTCTCTCTCTCTCTCACTCATAACACAGCAGAAGTAGGTGGAAAGCAATGTCCCCTTCTTTTCTCTCTATCTCTTTGCTAAAACTCTCTCTGCTATACACATCTCGCGTACGACGGAAGAACCAGAGAGAGCTTTCTGCGACGGCTTTAATGGTGGCGCTTTGAGTTGTCTGTTCTTCCAATTTTGAGTGGTGAATTGTTTGTTGCTGTTTTCGTTTTCTATTGTTTGTATCGAAAGAGGGTGAAATTGAAACCCTAGAGTTTCGAATTTAGCTGGGTTTCGTCACGAGGCTGGATCTGAGATTATGCTGTTGAAGCAATGGAGGCTTCTTTAACGGCTTTGGAGCGGCCACGAGGTGCAGCTTCAAATACGGTAATGCAGGTTTCTTGGGGTTTTTTGTTGAGTGAATTGAGAAATTGACTAGTAGTGCTGTTTCCTGGTTTTTAATTGTCTGAAAGTGGGTCATCAGAGACACTGGAATTGCTAAAAATAGGAAAAAAATATGAAAATGATTGCTAAAGTTGATCTATTATAATTAAAGTTGGAGTTTGTAGATTTCATTGTCCGTATTATCAGGCAGGGGTTGTTCTAGGAATCTCCTGATACACAGGGCGTTTGATTAGTTGTGAGACAAGCTTTGATTATAGCTGTTCATGGAAGCCTATTGATCGCTCATTGTACTTTTAACAGCACAGTTCAATATGTGTGTTAAGTAGTACATTTCCATAATCCCAAAAGATTAGCTTTATTCAAATAACAGTATTTTAGGGAAGGGGTTTCTCATTTAAGTAGAAATAACACACAGTAGCATGCCGGTTTTAAAATCGTTTTATATATTTGTGCATGTCTGGTTCCCAATATCAACTGTAAACAATTAAGAGAATTTTATTGAATTTACTTGTCTCTGGGAAGTATCTATATTATCTAGTTTTCAAAATGTAAGTTTGATGCTAAACTGATGATTGTTACTAATATTATGTAACTCACGATTATTTGACAGGTTTTCAAGAGTGGTCCACTTTTCATATCATCTAAAGGTATCCTTGTGACATTTTTCCCCTCCCTATATTGTCACATTTCACCATGTTTGTTCAGTTTTTCAATCCCCTCTGGCTATTGTGATATCATAAACATTTTATTTTGGTATTCTGCTCAATAGGATTGGGTTGGACGTCTTGGAAGAAACGCTGGTTCATCCTCACACGTACTTCTTTGGTCTTCTTCAAAAATGACCCTGTTAGTATTCACAATCATACTGCCTTTCTCCATAGTTGATTTTGATCTATGTATTTCATTTCTGTCTGTTAATGTAGGATAAGATTCTTGGTAATTGTATATATTGAGCTATTTAACTTTTTTTTTTTCACAGGGTACACTACCACAAAAAGGTGGTGAAGTTAACTTAACTCTGGGTGGCATCGACTTGAATAACTCTGGAAGGTATGCAGGGTACTGCTAGTTGATTATAAAATTCCACGGAATTCAACTTACAGTGATTTTTTTCTTTTGTTTTCAGTGTTGTGGTGAGAGAGGATAAAAAATTGTTGACGGTATTATTTCCAGATGGGCGTGATGGGAGAGCTTTCACTCTTAAGGTGATTCATCATCATCAGCAAATTTTGAAATACCTACTCTCTAGATGTCTACTCTAAGAACATGTTGCAGCATTGTGATAGTCCTTTAAGATGGTCTTTGTACTACTGTTAACATTTCTTTATGTGACCAACTTGGATGATGCAGGCTGAGACATTTGAAGATTTGTATGAGTGGAAAACTGCTCTTGAGCAGGCTCTTGCACAAGCCCCTAATGCAGCACTCATCATGGGTCAAAATGGAATATTCCGTGCTGAAACTAACGAGGCTATTGAAGGTTTGTTTCATCAATTTTTGTTCTAGTCCATGTTACAGCTTCGGCCTAAGCGTCTTACATCTATACAAGATTGAAGCCTTTATTTTTCTTATGTATATTTCTTCCTTAATAGTTTACTTTTTATCATCTATGCGTCATTCTACCTTTATTGTCCATATTTATTAGGGCGGGATAAGCGTCCATTAAAATCCTTGGTTGTTGGAAGACCAATTTTACTTGCTCTCGAAGATATTGATGGAAGCCCATCATTCCTTGAGAAAGCTCTTCAGTTTATTGAGAAGTATGGTACGTTCTTAAGAAAATTATCGATAGCTATCACCAAGCTGTATTGATTACCTGATCTTCCCCAAATTATTTTGCTGGGGTTATGCGCTATTAGATCAAAATGTTTCCGTATTGTTTTCAGGGTACTTCATATGTGGAAAGTATTAATTTCAGTAAAAATTTTAACTTTTTTCCATGATTCTGTTATCTCATTAAATCTGTTGTACAATTTCTTGCAATGGTTGAAACCTGATGTATTTCTTTTCTTTGAATGCATTTTTCTTTTAACTGGTTTTTTGTTTGGTTTCGTGGTCTTCTTTCGTCTCCTCAGGAACTAAAATTGAAGGAATATTAAGACAGTCTGCTGATGTGGAGGAGGTGGAACGTAGAGTTCAAGAATATGAACAGGGTACCTACTGCTAACTTATTTCTCTCTGGATTAAGTTTAGGAACATCTTGTTAAGTTAATATATTATATGTTCATAGACTTCCCTGGTATGTGCTCTCTCCAATACACCATTTATATTTTTTTTCCCTTTTTCCACTTCAAATAAAACCTAGGCAAAACGGAGTTCACTTTTGATGAAGATCCGCATGTTGTTGGAGACTGCATTAAGGTAGTTTCTTCTTAACTGCTTATTCTGATAGTCTGTGCATTGTTGCAATACTAAGGCAGTTTCATTTTACATGCAGCATGTATTGAGGGAGTTGCCTTCTTCTCCGGTTTCAGCGTCTTGTTGTACTGCCCTGCTGGAAGCTTACAGTGAGTTCCCTTACCCTCTTTTCCTTCCTTCTGATAAAGTCATACTTGTAAACATGCATGTTTGTATTTGTATTTGTGTTTGTGTTTGTGTGTGTCTATATATATATGCGTGGGTCTTCTGTTAAAGAATTTCTGGAGATTTGACTGAACTTCCGTGAACTTAATGTCCTCTTAATTGGTTTTGCTGGATCAGGAATTGAGTCTAAGGAGGCTCGCATTAGTTCATTGCGCTCTGCTATAGCGGAAACATTTCCGGAACCTAATAGACGTCTACTACAACGGTATGTTTCCAGCTCTTCCTCGGGGTTGTTTTGAGATAATAGCCAATTTCACACTGCTAACAGTTTAAATTATAGTAGATGTTAGATGTTAAAGTTGAGATTACTTGTTTCTGCCAAGTCTGAGTCTATTGACCAGATGAATTCCTTGTGGCTTTTATGAGTAAGAGTGCTTGAGAATCATTTATAAGCTGTTTTCTTAAACCCTTACATATTTTGTTTATACTCTCAGGATTCTGAAAATGATGCATACTATCTCATCTCATTCCCACGAAAATCGAATGAACCCAAATGCTGTAGCTGCTTGTATGGCTCCTCTGCTCCTACGTCCTCTACTGGCTGGTGAATGTGATTTAGAGGACGATTTTGATAGCGGTGAAGACAATTCTGCTCAGCTTCTTGCTGCTGCTAATGCTGCCAATAATGCTCAAGCCATCATTACAGTTCTCCTGGAGGATTATGGAAGTATTTTCGATGTAAGACGCACTCAGATAGTTTCATTCAACCTTCATCAATGTTGTATGTCTTATATGCTTATTTACAATTTCAGGAAGAAAATATTCAAAGATGTTCTATTTCGACTGAATCACATATTGGAAATAGTGGGCCTGATGATTCAAGTGATGATGACAACAACGTGAAAAATGAATATCACAATGCAGATAATGAAGTTGAACCAGTGACAGATGACGATAATGAGCGTGCATTGAGTGGAAAAATGAGTGAGAGCAGCGGTTGCACAGGCAGCGATCTCTATGAATACAAGGTTATTTCTCCTTTGGCCAGTATATCTCCCTTCAATATACTCATGCATCCTTCCCGAGTTTACATGAAACATTTATTTGTATAGTAGA